GACAGGGCGCATGAGGCAAGCTGGCTGGCCTCGCTAACCCGTCCGCTTTTGTCAAACACACGCACGTTACACACGTCCCCCGACGGAGACGAATAGATAGAGGCGAGAAGAGCGATAGCTTGCTAGTAAAAGCATGATAGTTAGTGAGGCTACGCTTGCTAGTAAAGGCATGATCGCTAGTGAGGCTACGCTTACTAGTAAAGGTAAAGTGGCTAGTGAGGCTACCCTGGCTAGTGAGGGTACGGTAGCTCTTAATGACACCGCCACTTCTGTAGCTTGTGAGGGCGATGTCACATCTATAGTGACATAACGTGACATGTACGCGCCTGCATGTCTGGACGATTGTGGTGATGTGCGTGTGTGCTTACTGTTTGTGTGTGCTTACTGTTTGTATGTGCTTACAATCTTGCATGCAATCGTGTGCCAGATTTTAGCGTGCCGCTTTCATCTACATCCCTATAGACTGTGCACACAGACACGCACGCATACACACGCACGCACTCACGCACGCACATATATGTATGTACAGGCCCGTAGCCAGGGGGGGTTCGGGGGGTTCGCACGACCCCCCCCCAGTGCACAACTATATATCAGATTTTAGCGTGCCGCTTTCATCTACATCCCTATAGACTGTGCACACAGACACGCACGCACACACACGCACACACTCACGCACGCACATATATATATATATATATACATTACAACATCTTTACATGTTTAATTCCTGCTGGCTATTGTAGTGCACAACTATATATCATCGTAACATTGTTTCGCTCCCCGCTCACTACTCTAAAATAATTGTATACTCTTGAAGCTCAAGGATTTTATAGTTATACTTTACTTACAACGCGTTCCAGTCAAAAAAATATTTTAAACGACGTAAATAATTTCTCACGTGCCTTACCGTTTCAGTAAGAAACGTGCTCCTCAGATTGCGCTGTATCCGTAGGTGAGTAGAATGGGAGACAGACTTACCTTACCTTTCTACACCGCACGGCGAGGGCGGTGTTACGCCACGCATGCAGGTGTCTCTAATAGCACACAGTAGAATGACATGACAAACGGATGTAATATGGAGTGTAGCATATTGTGGTCGCGGAAGGACGGGGATAGAGTGAACGAGCGAGCGAGCGAGAGAGAAGGGGAGGGCGCGCGAAAGAGCAATCCTGAGAGAGAGACGAAGTGAGAGACATATATAATAATAAAAATCACACGGAACTCAATGGCTTCTAATAATGTATAATGTAAATCTAATAATCTAATAATGTAGTATGATAACAAATATATATATTTAAAAAAGCACACGAACACCAATGGCTTCGTAACATCTAATAATATAATATAACAAAAAATATATTATCTAACCATATAATAGATGCATTCAGTCAATGCATGAGGAAGAGACGTTGTTTTGAAAAAGAGCTCTAAGGAATAAATATATGACGCCATATATCTTATAATTTGATATATATATATATATATATAATGTTTTGTTATATACTTATTATTTATTATGTGTTATGTTTAATCTACATTATATTACAAACGATAAATATCCGTCTCCCAACCTCTTTCCCAATTCTGCCCGTCCTCGACCGATAGTTGAGAAATCTAGCTGCAGACCTCGCATCGTCTTCGAATATCAACCTGCATCCTCATAATTCTTATCCCATCTCTCACGCAACGCAATTTCTTAGATTGTTTGATTGTAATCATATTTAGTAGTATTCACATCTGTCTAATCATATCCGTATTTTTGTAGAGTCCTAGCGATTTGAGATTGATATGTTGATTATTACGCCGCCCGGTGGCGCTGTCTCGGGTACGCCGCGTTCGTCTGCGCCTCCTGGATCCTATTTAGGATAATTGCATGACTCGCGAGATGAATGCCGGGTTAAGTGCCAGGAAGCTCGTAGTTAGAGCTAACAGCATTCGCCTGTTAGACTGACATCAGAGAGCGATGGCTTAATGCGCTAATGCACGTCACATGCTATCTATGAAAACCTTTGCAAACCTAACGATGTTGATTCCTATCGATGAACAGCGTGTCAACCATCTATCAAGCTATCGATCTAACCGCTAGCCAACCACTTACCTATATCGTCTGTGTCCGCTCCTTGTCGCTCATGCGTTTTATTGTGTCATCACCGGTGTTCACTATCATAACGCTAATTTTGTTTCTAATATCATCCTGGAGTAGTCCCTATCCCGTGTTCTATAATATTGTAGACGCTGGGTTTGCACTACCGACGTGGAATTCTGTAATAGACTTTCTCAGACTATGTCTCGACACAAGAAGCCCCGAGCAGTCGGCCGCTTCCTCTTTATATACGCCGCGCCCCAGTCCCGCGATCGCGTTTTTTCTCTTACGTCACAGATCTCCTTTAGCTCCCAACTCTGACCAACCGGCCCTCCCACACGGCAGAGTACGGATTCCTACTGCTATCTCCCGCTACCTAATATGGTGGCGGGATGCGCGGTGCACACTTGGCGTGACTCCATGGTCGATTCTGACCATGGTGTCACTACAGTCATCTATCGGTCAGCACCGTCATCTATAGGTCAGCACATGTGCGGCCGCCTGTCCCAATTCGCAAGAACTGGAGGATTCATAACCGGCCTTCCAGCTAGCCGGCGCCATCTCGAGTCACGGCTCTCTTTGATCTCCGTGTCAACCGCTGACTCGCCCGCTCCTGTTTCATGCATTATACCCCCTGGCTACGGGCCTGCAAGAGACGCGATTTCGAAACGCACAAACTCGCAAAACGCGTTGACCACCTGCCAACAATAATTGGTAAGTTGAGCTATATCCATTCACTCGCGAGATTTTTAATTGAACAGCCTCCAATGTAAAAAATGGCGCCTAGATGGCACAAAAGAAATATAAGGCGGTCTGAAGCGATCAAATCTGGGAAAGTAGAATCGGTGATATCAGCAGAAGATACGGACGATGATACTGGTTTGAATAAAACAGTTATAATGATAAAATTAAAACTATTCGTATTTCAGCCCTTTTCTGTCTGTGTGTGTGTGTGTGTGTGTGTGTGTGTGTGTGTGTGTGTGTGCGTGTATGCGCGTGCATGTGTGCGTGTATGCGCGTATGCGTGTGCGTGTGCATGTGTGCATGTGTGCGTGTATGCGCGTGTATGCGCGTGCGTATGTATGTGTGCGTGTATGCGCGTGCGTGTGCATGTGTGCGTGTGCACGTGGGCATGTGTGCGTGTATGCGCGTGCATGTGTGCGTGTATGCGCATGCGCGTGCATGTGTGCGTGTGTGCGTGTATGCGCGTGCGTGTGCAAGTGTGCGTGTGTGCGTGTGTGCGCGTGCGTGTGCATGTGTGCGTGTATTCCGAATATTGACGTGTGTGCGCGCACGTTGATATGCATACACATTATAGCAAATTTACAATTTTAAAGTTAATTTCAACAAATATAAACAAAATTACAAAGGAAACGAGAACAGACACCAGACACATGTATGTCACACACACTCCCACGCTGGCCCTATCTCACTCGCAAAGCCTTGATTTTGATATCTTAAAGCCCAAGCTTGATATCTAATAACGTTGATATCTTACACGCAAGCAAATATGAACCTTATGTAACCCACGACACGCGCTCTCCACAACAAAACTATTAGTAGTAACTATACGTTACCTTCCTATACAAAGGCTCAAACACTGGTTACACTGGTCAAACACTAGTCAAACACTGGTCAAACAGAGGTCACACACACTGCTAGATGCTAGCCCACACCTGCTCCCATATCCATGATCTGGTGACACGTGGCGCCCCATCCAAGGCCTATAGATATAAACACGAATTAAATATAGTGCATGTAACAGTATGCCTCCGCAAATTGTTCACCGGGGACAAATTCACATAGGGACCAAATTGCACTATTTGGTCCCTATAAAATGCCTTATTAGGATTTTATCGATGGAATTCGGCACTAGAGTGCACTAACTTGCATTATGCACGCAAGTTAGATGCCTCGTGGACGCCTAGAAAGCATTAGAAATAAGATTGGTCTTGTCGTGTAATTGTGCCATTCCAGTAAGTGGTGTAGCCATGGTCACCGGTCAGCCATTTTTGTGTTTGTAAGGGGATCCGACTACTCTGTAGAAATACGCGTCATAGAGCTGGCAAAAGTTTCGAGCGGAGTGTAGAGCTTGAATCTGTGGTTACTTAACATGGTACTGTATGTTTGTGTATGCGACGAAACCGTGTGAGTATTTTTAATTAAGTTCTGTTCGATGCTTATTCAGGTCTGCTCCCTATGACCGCTTTCTAATGTTGTACAACACTTAAAGTGTTTATATCTATAGGCCTTGGCCCCATCTCTTGACGCCCAAATGCGCCCTCTTGCGGCGCACACCTGTACCAACGTGTAGTACCCATCTACGCCGACCTTCAGCGCCCCTTGGCGTGCTTATGACTAGCGTACAAAGCAGCAGTTTTTTTTATTCCGCTTTACAGATTTAGACGAAGCCGATGAGAAACACCGCGAGGGGCAACCGATAGTGTATCGTTAACCCTTTCAGCTTTAGAGCATCCAATTATAAGCGGATCGAACTCACACGGGGGGGTCGTACAGTGGAGACGTGTACCTCAGAGACAGACCTTCGACGCACTTCACTTTACAGAAATATACATAGAGCAACATATACGAATACATGGCGACAGTATAGCAGCTTGTTAGTGACAAATGTACGATATTCGGTTTGCCACGGCGCGATGCTTCCGCTGATTGTCGTTATACAAACTCTGGCTTCTCTTTAGTAGTCTTGCCGCTATCACATTTCATTTTGCTGCTAATAGTTACCTCCGAGATAGATTAGCTTACAGGTGCATACACATGCTCAACCCTTCATCTACGCTCACACACAGACATCTTATAACTGACGCGTGCCGAACAAAAGTTAACGCAACAGATGTAGTTAATGCATGTATATATATATATATATATATATAAATATATATGTCTATGAGGTGTGGAGCGCGACGGCTCGTTCCACGGGCATCGGCGCGGGGACAAGGCCTCCACCGGGTGCGTGCAGTTGCAGACCTCGCAAGTAGTCTGCGTCATTGCATCCGCGGTGGTGACGGTCTGCGTCACCGCATGCCAAATGGTGGCAGCCGGTGGTCTCCGAACCCCCGAGCGACTCCTTACGTCTGCCCGCGGGCACCCACGTCCACTCCCCGTGATGGTGAACGGCACCGGTGCGCTGACGCACTGGCGCTCTAACGCACCGGCACCGGGAGGTGGTGGGCTCGCGCCCAGCAAGGGCCCGAGACCCGATCCCCGGGCGAACCCTCGCAGCTGGCGCTGGCTTGCCCCCTGCAGGCACTGCGGTGGCCAGGAGGGGATTCTGACGGGGGTGTCCTCCGGTGTGGGGTCCCATTCGTCGTCGTCGGCAACCTCTGACAGGGGTTGATACCCGTCAGTAGCTGCAGCTTAGGTACGGATATCGTGAAGGTAGCGAAGTAACACTGCAACAACAATACATGACGATTAGTGCATGACAATTTAGTAATACATATTAGACTACTTTTGTTACAGTCAAGTACCAATATCATCCGGCGTGCTCTATGCTTTTTATTATCGTTTACTTTACTTTACGTATATACGTACCGCGAGCACCATACTTAATTATCTTATTCCTAGTCGTGCCTAGTATATCGCTACTCCCGGAATCTGCTACCTTCCGCACAACTTATTATAATTAACTACACCTCTATGGATCTCGGCACTTCTGGGTACAGGATGGGTAAGGGTGGGGTGGTGTTTTGTGCTCTAGGGGTACATTCCCCTCTGTGCTATCCTCCGAGTCATACTTATACCGTGACACCTAAACAGAACGATTACCCCTTTCAGGTGAATCTCGTAGTTCTGCTAACGGCTTAAATCTACCTGTGCCCATACCTCACTACTCTTAACGCGGGTCCCGGGCCTATCGTTGCCATCGTCTCTATAGGTAAATCAGTCATGGCTAACGTAATAAAATAATAGGATGTAGAGGGTGGTGGAGGGGATAGTGGCGGTAGTTATAGGTGGAGAAAAGTGCTTGAATATCTCGCTAAGTAATACGCTCGTACCTTTCAAAGCTAGTTTAATACGCAATCTATTTATGCCGACACAAGAATTTGTTTCACTCACCCGCCTCGAACTTTCTCCTTGATCGTTTGTGGTCTTTTCAGCTGATATCTCGCTATATTGTCGCTGTCCGGCATCAGCTGCTTCCTGTCGGTCCTTGCGTGTAGGTGAATCGCGCGTGTTTCGCGTATGGCGAAACTCTGCATAACGAATGTCACAATCACTGCGGAATCTGCCCAGCATGTCAATGTTCCTTTCTTCCTTCTTCCTCTTCTTCTTTTTCTTCTTCTTCTTCTTCTTCATATTCTTCTTCCTTCTTCTTCTTCCTCCTTCTTCCTCCTTCTTCTTCTTCTTCTTCATCATCGTTACAGCTGTCTTCACTCAGTGTTTCTCTCGACTTTCGTGCGTATAGTTATAGTACCTTTAGTTCGTTGTTTGGCAAAGGAATACCCAAGTCCGACTGGTTACTGCACCAAAATGTAGACGCTGGGTTTGCTCTACCGACGTGGAATTCGGTAATAGACTTTCTCAGACTATATCTCGACACAAGAAGCACCGAGCAGTCGGCCGCTTCCTCCTTATATACGCCGCGCCCCAGTCCCGCGATCGCGTTTCTTCCCTTACGTCACAGATCTCCTTTGATCTGTCACGTCACACGCTCCCACTCTGTCACACGTCACACGCTCCCAACTCTGACCAACCGGCCCTCCCGAACACGGCAGAGTGCGGATTTCTACTGCTATCTCCCGCTACCTAATATGGTGGCGGGATGCGCGGTGCGCACTTGGCGTGACTTCATGGTCGATTCTGACCATGGTGTCACTACAGTCATCAATCGGTCAGCACCGTCATCTATAGGTCAGCACGTGTGCGGCCGCCTGTCCCAATCCGCAAGAACTGGAGGATTCATGACCGGCCTTCCAGCTAGCCGGCGCCATCTCGAGTCACGGCTCTCTTTGATCTCCGTGTCAACCGCTGACTCGCCCGCTCCTGTTTCATGCATTATCCAAACACCATTCTCGCGTCCGCCATCCCCTTCCCTGGCATGTGGTCTTTGCTCGCTTACAATATGGTCCCTCTGCAATCTCTACGGTCTCTCTGCAATCTGTACATAATCTCTAAATTTTGTACATTACCTCTTTATCCTACTCTCTACATTATTTTTTATTGTCTATATTCTCTCTGCATAAACTATATCTCCATGTACTCAGATCACCTCTGCACTCTTATACATTCCCCTTTGCATTGTGTGGATAAACTCTTTCCCTACTAACCCGACCAGGCTGTGTGCCTAACGTCAATATACACAAAATATTCTAATTTCAAATTATTTCTTTTTATTTCAAAATATTCTAATTCAATATTCTAACTCTAGCAATAGCGTTTCTTGGAGCTATTTCCCTACATGCTCTGTGTATAGACTCTACATCACCTCTGCATTCTATACATCGGTTCTGTAGTCTATACATTCATGTTGTATTCTATGCATTATCTCTTTACTCTATACATCACAGCAAGAGCAGATAATACACATTGTATTATCTGCTCTTGATCACAGTTGTACACGTTTCTACATTCCCTCCGCGTATTCTCGCGGTCACCCCTGTGTGTGTCAGTGTCGCATGGAAGTGTAACGTTGAATTAATGTTCGATGTAGAAATGATGAAGAAGAAATTTGGGTGATACTCCATTAGGAGTGTTCTCAACTTTAATGTCATTAATGGTCATAATAACATATATACATATATATATATGTTCATAGTCATATAATTATTAGTTTGTGGTTTAATGTCATTTAGGTTACGGTTAGGGTTAGGGTTAGGATTATCAATCATTAATCATTAATGATATCAAAGTTGGGAACACTCCTAATGGAGTGTTAGCCAGTAATTTCCCTGTGTATTAAACTGGATATACTTTAATAATTGGCAGAGCGTGTAGTCACATCTAGCACAATGAGACAAAGAAACGCGCACACGCGCGTAGGCGCGTGTTTTAACTCCCGCTGTGGTAAGTTCTTACTCCCGCGACCACAACCAGACTCCCGACTCCTACATCTCTGTCTCCCCAAAACCCCCGCCATGTCTACACTCGATCTGCACCCCTATTTCACAATGACTCGAGAATCTGCCTAACCTAAAACACGCTTATCCAATTCCCTGTAACATAAATGCGGCCGCACAAAATGCGCGCCGCTGTGTCTAGATAGACTATTACTAAAACAACCCCTAGTCTAACTCCACTGACTACTCTATGTAAACATCTGTAAAACATATGTTACGAAAGCATATTGAGCACAAATACGCGCGCAGTTTCCATGCATTCTCTCCCATCACGCGAGCGTGCGTGCCTGCGTGCCTGCGTGCCTGCGTGCGTGTATGCGTACATGAAAGCTTACGGCAAGGCAGGCGGAATATCTACACTGGAAAGCATCGCTACTGAGTTTCACGTTTTTTTACGCGGCAATTCAGCTGGGGGAATCATTCTCGCTTGGCGGAGATCGAGCTGTTCAGGCAAAATGAAATCAAAATGAAATCGTGCCGTCACGCCATTTTCATCTATTCAGATGCGCCCCTGGATCGGGAGTAATTCATGTGGGTCACATCTCCCTGAGTGTGTCGGGTTTGCTAGCATATATACGTACAGATGGGAGCAGACATAGCACACAGAGTAGGAGAGAAATGAAGAGGAGAGAGGGTGAGAGAGAAAAAGAGGTCAGAGGGAAACGGAGAGGGAGAGAGAAATAGATAGTGAGAGAGAGAGAGAGAGAGAGAGAGAGAGAGAGAGAGAGGAGAGAGAGAGAGAGAGAGAAGAGAGAGAGAGAGAGAACGGAACAAGGAGACGTAGCACATACAGTGGGTACTCTTGAGAGGTTCACCTCAAGAGGGCCGTTAGTGCAGGTGTTTCAGTATCGTGCAGACAGTCATGTGTTACGTGTGTGTGTGGTGGATGCGTGCGTACGTGTACGCATATGTGTATGCGTTGCGTGTGAGAGTACGTGTAGGTTTGCGCGAGTGTCCGTACCTGAGCCTGCGTATGACGGGATGTCTGAGTATCGAATTATGCGTGAATCACAATTACGATACGGCCGCCATGGCGCGGCTGTGTGTGCAGGGAGAGACACAGATGCATGTCGACGTTTGATTGTGGCACTGGCCACGTCTGCTAATTAATCTCGCGGCAAATTACTCTGTGTGTTCCCTTCGCTATTATCTCGGACTAGTGACAAAGAGGATCAGTGAGGCATGAAATGGCGAGAGCAAGGGGCGAGGGGAACGCGAGGGAGCGAGAGTGAGCGCGATCGAGAGCGTGAAAGAGAGAAAGAGAGAGAGAGAGAGAGAGAGAGAGAGAGGGAGAGAGAGAGAGAGACAGAGAAGAGAGAGAGAGAGAGAGAGACACAGAAAGAGAGAGAGAGAGAGAGAGACGAGAGAAGAGAGAGAGAGAGAGAGACGAGAGAGAGAGAGAGAGAGAGCTAGCGATGACAGAGAGAGGGCGATATGGTGAGAGAAAGGAAGGAATAAAGAAATAAAGAAAAAAGAAAGAGTGATAGAGTGAAATCCTCAGAGATTGGCCGATACTAAACATAATTCAAATGCAAATAAAAACTGCGGATCAAAATGAAATGCGAAATATTACATATTGAAATCAAACGTGTTCTAATCAATCATCATATGAAATTATAACAAATGATAACGCGATAAGGTTTGCGACCGACATACAGATAGGCACACAGTTATACAGACAGACAGACAAACAGACAGCCAGAGCAGATGGATGAATGGATGGACGGACGGACGGAGGGACGGACAGATGGATAGATAGATAGATAGATAAATAGATAAAAAAAACATAAATATATATATATATATAATATTAATATATATATATATATATATATATAATAGTATTATAGATAGATAGATAGATAGATAGATAGATAGATAGATAGATAGATAGATAGATAGATAGGTATAGGTAGCTGGTTGTTTTCATCATCATCATCATCATCATTATCATCACTAACTTCATCGTCATCATTATCATCATCATCATCATCATTATCATTATCATTATCACTATCATCACCACCACCATTACAATTTTACTATTCTTCTCCTGGTTCCTCTTCAACCGAGTTTCTTTCGCCTCTATATAATTTTACGTGTTTTATTTCGCTTCTTCTTCATCGCATTGTGCCACCATGCACGTATTAATCACCAGCAGCCAACTCTCAGAGCAATCCTCTTTGTCACCGACAGTATTAAATTCAGGAGTCTTTAGACAGCGGGATTAATCTATCGGAACAGCCGACGGAACACGCTATACGCCGGATTACAGCACAATGCGACATTATTGCACATTGTTAATACCTGCTCTCCTAATTAAATAATGCGAGAAAACAAAAGGGAACAAGATAGTGAGCGGGAGGAGGAAAGTAGGTGCGGGTGATAAAGAGAAGGGTAAAGAACGACAATTTAAAAAAAGGGGAGAGCAAGAGAGCGAGACCGAGAGAGGAAAGAGGTAGTAACGAGTAAGCTATGGAGGGAAGAGGTTAAGAATGAATGAAGAAGAAGACAAGAAAGGGGAGTGCGTGCACGGGGACGTAAAGAGTTAATCAGGAACGGGAAACAGCCCCGACTGCTCTATAACCATCCAAACGCCCCCTCCCTCCCCGCCTGCCATCTGACTCACTAGTTGATATAGTTGTTATTATGTCGAAGCAGTAGCTAGCACTAGTAACATACGTAAGCGCGCAGGACGCCGAGCGGCCAAAGACGAAGAGACGATTTCTTGCGGCCCCTGCACAACAATATTCGCGGGGAGTCATACAGCAGCAGTACGTAAGTCGACAGACGCACAGCCGTCGGAATCACTTTCACTCACTCTGCGTGCAATTAGCACGAAGGTTCTCGTACACCATTGTGTTCGTCGTTTGCTTCGCGTTTGATTCTCTGCCGTGGAAAAAGCGCCACTTTACCGCCGTGCGCCGTTTTTAGAGCCACCTGCTCGCGAAAGATGCTGCTGCTCAAGGTCGATGCGATACAATATGATACGTGTCGCATAGAAGACGATACGACGGCGGGCGGAAGAAAAGTGGCTAGCCATGGGTATATAACTATGACTATGACCTTGACTGTGACCATGACTATGACTATGATTATGACTATGACTATGACTATGACTATGAATATGACTATGATTATGACTATGACTATGAC